CCCTGTGCCAGGGCCTCAGCACCCTCGTAGGGAACAATTTCTTCCCAATATCCCATCTGTCCCTGCCCTCTGGTAGTGGGAAGCCATTCACCCCCTGTCCTGTCACTCCAGGCCCTTGTCCAAAGTCCTTCTCCAGGTCTCTTTGAGGCCGTTTTGGCCTTTGGAAGGGCTCTAAGATCTCCCTGGAGCCTTCTCTCTCCAGGTGAACACCCCCAGGTCTCCCAGCCTGTCCCTAGAGTCCTCAGAGAGCATCTTGGGAAGAAGGAAGGGGACCATAACCCCAGGCCATCCCACCTGTGACAGGCTGGATCCAACACCTCTCCTGGGTGAGTAACACCAGCAGCTGGTCTCAGGTCGGGTTTCAGCAGGAGCTGGAGGCGCTGGGGCTCACAGGTGGGGTTGGACACAGAGCAGGAGGGGAGGCTGTCACAGCTCGGGTGACTGAACCAGTTTCCAGGCACCTATTCAAATGCAAACAGAGAATCCAGCCGGGGCAGGATGGATCCTTTGGCTTTGAAACCCCTTCGGGAAGCTTTAGCCATGCAAATGCAGGGGTTCAACAAAGGTGGGACTTCATTCCCAGGGAAGCATCATGTGCCTCCAAAATCCCCCCTGCTCTGAACCAGAACAGCTGCAGGACCTTGGAACAGCATTGTCCACACTTCTGGGAGTGAGCACAGGAGCCCCCTGAGCTCAGGCAGACAACCCCACTCTGTTTTGGGGAGGTATGGTCCCAGGGCTCCAGCCTCTCTGTCCCAACGCCAAAACGTCCCTGGCAGCTCTCACCAGCCGCAGGAGATGCTCTGGATTGCACCAGGAGCCAGGAGCAGCATCCTGGTGTCCCCTCAGGGGGCACAGGCCACGCTGCCTGAGGGCAGGCGATGAGGAGCAGTCTCCTGGGAGGGCAGGAGGACACCAAGGCAGGTGAAGGGCGGTCAGGTCCTCCTAGGAGCTGCCCTGCATGGAAAGCTCAGAGCCAGAGCCGAGGCTGACAGCTGCCTAGCGTGACGAGGCTCAGCACCTCCACTGGGCTCCGAGCCAAGCCCAGTGCCCCGGGATGCCGGGAGCCCTCCCTCCCTGCTACGTGCCTGTCTGATTGGGGCCAGTCATGCCCACAGCCTGCAGAACAGGCTCAGCTGGCAGCAAGCCCGGCAGGACGGGATGGAGCCCGGGGGAAGAGCTGGAACGTCACCCTGGGAGCACCTCAAACAAACCCACACAGGGCCGGGGCTGGCCCCGGGAACCTGGCATCTGTCCCACCACCTGCCCACGTGGGATAAAGCACACGGATTTACGCTGCAGGGCCAGAGGAGATTCCCAGGTCCTAGGGAAAGTGTGGAGTGGTGAGGACCTTGCCACCAGAAAGCATCCCCGTGCCTGCCACGGCTCCCCAGCCCAGCTGCGATTTAAATTTCAGACAAATTGAGCCTGACCTCTGTTTCCACACCCAGCAACTGCAAGGCAGACAGACAATGACGGAGGGATAACCACATCCCAGAGCCTGGGCTCCCCACCCCTCCTGCACAAACAACACACCCAGACACAGCTCCCTGGCAGTGCAGGACCGACCTCCCCATGCTCAGCACCTTCCCAGGGACTGGAGAGAGGGAATCTGGGCTGGCACAGAGAGCTGGGACAGGGTCTGACCTGAGCATCACCCTGGCTGTGCCTAGCAGGGGGAACCTGGAGGTTCATGTTCATGGGAGGAGCTGGGTTGGGTCACACCCCTATTAGAGCTGGTTTCCAGCTTGTTCCCTAAAACAGACACCACTGATCCCCCACAATTTCCCTGGGCTGGGAGCAGGAGGGAGCTTCATTTATATCCACAGTCAAGGGAATTACAGGGGTGCTCAAGGGAACCAGCTGGTGCTTGTATCTTTGCCTGGAGGAGCCAGCTCAGGGTCACGCTTCGGAAATATTTGAGAAGCACAGCAATTAAAAGATTGGAGCTGGCAGGCTGAGCTGTCTCCCTCTGCCCTGATCCATGCCTGTGTCCACCCACCTGCATCTGCCCGGAATCACTCCTCTAGGCGGGCACACACTCACCCACCTCCCAACGCGGTGGGGGTGGCACTGAAACTCCACTTGGCTCCATCCCCCGAGGTGCTGCTGACCCTAATGGGCAGGCAGGACTTCTCCCCTCTCCCCCAGGGGTGCTCCCTGCTCCCCGTTGGCAGCTGTGCCTCTCCACGCCCGTGCCAGCGTGTGCCGGCAGCGTGGCGTGCACAGCAAGCCCCGTCCTGCCCGCCCGCCCCGCAGCAGCTGCACCCTGCGCTCCCCCTGGCCTGGGAGGAGCTGGGTTGGGTCGCTGCGCTCCTTTGGTGGCTGATCCCGAATCACTGAGCACTGCTGGGTGTATCCGTGTGGCTGACAGGGCTCTGATCAGCAGCTCTGCTTGCCCCAGCGTTCCCATCCTTCGCCCTCCGGCTGTTTGGCCGGTCCCTGCGGGACCCCAGCTGATTCTGCCCACCCTGGCACATCTTGCTGGGCTCGGGATACGTGCACAGGTGGTCCCTACAGCCCCATAGCCTGGTCACCCACAAACCCTGGTCTCCCAGAGCTCAGAATGCCAGGTTTTCTTCCCATGGTGGAGAGAGGCCCAGAGAGAAGCAGCAAGACAAGAGCTCCAGGAAGTCACAGGCAGGAGCGGAGGCAGCCACGGGCTCTCTGGTGCTGGCTGCAGGGCTCTCCAGGGAGGATGCTCCAGCCACTGCCGCTGCTGCCACCTCCCAGCCCTGCTGTCAGTACTGATGGGACTCACACAGGGCCTCGGCCTTGGCTTTCCCACGCAGGAGCAGCATTGGGAAGTGGGAGGAGGAAACGGATCTGCTCCATGTTCCCGGTGCTTCCTCTCAGCCCTCTATGCCCTGTTTCTTCTCTTGTGGGAGCAGGGAACAGCCTGCTCAGATAACAGATCTGATAGATCTGTCACAGATAACAACGGCAGTGACAGACACTGCTGGGGCATGTGAAGCACTGTGCACACCCCCAGACTGGACTGCCCCCCACCATCATCCTGCACCCTGGGACAGCCACTGAAATGCTCGGGGCTGGTTCCATCCTCCAGCCCTTGGACGTTTGCAGGATGCTGTCGGAGGTGTGGGGGGCAGCAGCAGGATGCTCAACCCCCCCATCTGGCCAAGGCAGACTCTGAAATGCCCACCCATGGGCAGTGAAGGCCCAGCTGCCTACTGCCAGGTGGCAGAGGGAAAAGGCAGGAATGCTAATGGAGTACAGGTTCTAGCCAATGGATTTGCTGTGTCCTGAGAGTGTGGTCCAGACATGAGGGTACAGAGGGGGTGGATGGTGGAGCAGGGAGACCTTTGTGGATGCTGAAGGACCACACAGAGCACAGCTCCACCTTTGGGGAAACTGAGGCACAGCCTTCTGAGGGGGTGCATGCAGCCCACAGGGACCTTAGCCCTTCCCTGTCCCCATGCCAGGACAGCAGAGCAGAGGATGAGCTCCTGGGGCATTGGGACACCTCCCTGCTCCAGCTGCACACCCCAACTTCAGGACATCCCAGGGACTGAGCTTCCACGGGGCACCCCAGGCAGGGGATGCCCTTGCCCAGGCAGGTGCAGGGGAGCTGGGATATTGGCTCAGCTCTGGAGGCTGCCTGCAGTGTCAGAGGCTGGCTGCCAGCCCGGGGACGGCGGTGGCAGGCTCAATTCCAGTGCCCATTGTGCTCCTGAGGGAGCAGGGCTGGGGGAAGGGACACGTTCTGGCCTCAATGTGGGGCCAAGGCCACCATGGTCATCCAAAGCATGGCCAGCAGGGCTGGGGACCTGCCACTCCTGCAGGATTAGCACAGGGTCAGACACCATTCCCACAGCTGCTGAGCTGGGATGGGGCTGGGATGAGGAGGGAATGGGGTGAGATGGTGCCAAGGAAGGATACGGTCAGGTGAGGATGAGGCTGGGGTGGGATGGGGCTGGGGCAGGATGGGACCAGGGTGGGACAGGGCCAAGGCAGAACATGGCCAGGGTAGGATGGAATTGCAGTAGCACGGGGCTGGGATAGGATGGAGCCAGAGTGGGATGGGACCAGGATGGGACAGGGCCAAGGCAGAACATGGCCAGGGTAGGATGGAATTGCAGTAGCACGGGGCTGGGATAGGATGGAGCCAGAGTGGGATGGGACTGGTATGGAAATGAGTGGGATGGTGCCATGTAAGGATGCAGCCTGGCTAGGATGGGACTAGAGAGGAACAGGGCCAGGCTAGGATGTGGCCAGGCTAGAACAGGGCTGGGATGGGACTGGGGTGGGATGGTACTGGGGTGGGATGGTGCTGGGATGGGATGGGATGGGGCTGGGGTGGGATGGGGCTGGGGTGGGATGGTACCAGAGCATGCTAGGAACAGGGTAGGATGGAGCCAAGGCAGGATGTGGTGAGGGTGGGATGAGGCTGGGCTAGGATGGGACTGGTGTGGGAGGGACCCAGGGTGGAATGGGGCCACGGTGAAGGGGCCTGCCCTGGCTGTGGGATGCAGGAGAAAGCACATCCTGCCTGGATGGAGGCTGTGTGCAGGGCTGTCCCTCAGAGTGCTGCTCCCTGCAGCCTGGGGCCAGGGAGGGCTGGGGAGGATGGAGCGCAGCCTGCAGCATTCCCAGCGTCGCTGTTAGTTTAACAATACCCCGCTGGCCTGCATGCCGGGGCTAATTTTATCCTTGGAGCCAGGCCAAGGCGGCCCTAACTTTCCTCGCTGTGATTTATCCCAGCCATTTCCCTTCAAAAACAAGGCCCCCGTGCCAGCCCTGCTGTCTCCCGGGCAGCAGCACACTGTCCCAGCCAGGGCAGAGTGGGGCAGGATCTGCCCCTTGGGGGGCTGTTTAGAGAGCAGGAGGGTGGTTGCTGTGGGAACCCCTCCTGGGGTCATTCCCCCCACAGCACGGGGATATTCAAAGCTGGCTAGAAGCCAGGGGATGCTCAGGCAGAGCCTTCCCCAAGATCCTGGAGCAGCTCTGTTTTCCACAGACATCTCTGGGAAGGAGGTGGGTGTTTTTTCTACCAATGATTTTATTGAAAAGGCTGTGGGGCTATTTTTTTTCCCTTTTTTTTCCTTTTTTCTCCCTTTTCCCAGTCAGCAGCCATACTTGAGAAAGAGATTTCCCTTTGCCTCTGTGCATCTAGTTAAAAACTGATCGGTAAAAATGCTGCAGAAAAATGGAAAATATTGAAAATATCCTGTGACAAACAAACAAAAAAATCTCTTCCAAATAAAGATCTCCTTTCTTCTCTCTTTTTTTTTCCATCAGAAAAGCTTTTAGTGTGCAAAATGTCGACCGCTTAGATTTCTTCTCCCAGCAGGCTGGGATGCACCCAGCTCCAGGAGAGTGGGTTTTCAGAAAGCTAAAAATCACTGGGCAGAGACCCCAGCACCGTTACCTCCCCACCTGTCCCTCTTGTGACCCACCACGCTCCCGCCAGACCTGTGGCAGGGGGGGAGGTCCCCAGGGAAAGAAAGGAAGAGGCGGCACGGCCAGCCCGCGGGCGAGCCCCTCCCTGCCAGCCCGGGAAGGGGGAAGAAAGCCCAAAGTCATTTGGTCACTAGCGTGATGAGTTCCCGTCCGGCCCCAAGGAGCCCTGGGGGCTGCGGGCACAGCGGGACGAGGCTTAGAGGTTGTCGTACATGCGCAGCGTCTTCTCCAGCTGCTGGCTGACGCGCTGGTAGAAGACGATCTGCTGCCTCAGGTAGGACTGCATCATCCTCTTGAAGTCGGCCACGCGCCGCTCGTGGAAGTGGTTCATCTCGGCCTGCAGGGCGAAGCCCACCACGCGGCAGCGCTTGCGGATCCCGTCCGCCTCCTCCTGGTCCATCCTGCCCTCGTCGCTCATCCGCTGGCTCTCCTTCACCTTGGCGAAGGCGCCTGGCGGGGCAGGGAGCAGCGTCAGGGGATGTGTGCGACCCTCGGGCCCCCTCCCTGCGCAGCCACGCTTGATCCCGTCACCCCCGTGCCGGAGCACCGGCCGGGCCCAAAGCAGAGGCACAGACCCGCCCCATGTAAGAGAGGGATCTGCCTGCATCTCCTCCTGCCCATCAAACCCATCCCTCTCTTGCAGGAAGGCAAAGACTGGGAGCATTTTCTCTCTGGACTCTGGCATCCCCAGCTCCTTTTCCATCCTCATGTACAGCTGGTTTTGGGGGTCTGGGATCCTGGAGCACTGTGACTCAAGGCTTGGGGTGCAAAGCTGACGTGAGGCAGTGTTAGCACAATGAAGCACCCTGGCCAAGCCTGCCCTCCAAATATTCCATGCCATTCCATGAACAGGGGTCAGGAGCGGCCCTGGGAGACCCCAGCCCAGGAAGCAGTGATCCAGGATGTGGCAAGGGCACGTGGTGCTGTCTGGAGCTCAGCTGGGAAAGCATCTCCCACTCCCGGAGGCAGCTGATGCTCTGACACCAGTTTTTGCCTCTCCTTCCATGTTTTTTTACAGCTTGGTTTCGAAAGAATCCTGCCTGGCTCCAGCCCTGCATTCCTCCCTCTCATTAGCACAGAGGCTAAAAAACTAAAAACAGGATCTGGCCCGCACTGGGCTTTCTTCCCTTCTCCCTGCCCCTTGCCGGGAGCACCAGACCCGGGGTTACAGTGCTCCCGCTGCGCCAGCCCTGCTCCCAGAGGGGAGGAGGAGGAGAAGGAAGAAGCAAAGTTTGGAGGCCAAATCCTGCCTTCCGCTCTGCCCACGCGGCCTCGCTTCCGGACGGGATCCAGCCCCTCTCCGTGGGTAAACAACACTCAGAGGAAAGGCAGGGAAGTTGCCCGGGCAGGATTGAATCCTCCCTGCGCCCTTTGCCTTCCCAGCCTCCCCCAGGGATGCAGAGTGATGCACAGACATCCCTGCATGCTGGGACACAAACGGCCCTGGTTTCACCCTGGGGAAAACCTGTCCTCCAGACTCTGGGGACTCTGGTGTGGGTGTCCCCTCCCTGCTGCTGGCAGCTGGGCGGGGAGGAGTGTGTGTGGACTTTGGCCCCACACCCACACCGCTGGCTGCCTGGGTGCAAAGGGACACCGAGCCCTGCCTGCCTGCTGCCTGCCCCAGGGAGAGAACAGCAGACACTTCTCCCCCTCTCTGATCCCACCAAACCCAGGGAACCAGGACAAATGGGACATGAAGAGCTCTGATGCCCTGGGGGTGCTAACCCACTCCAGCTGAGTTGGAGGTGCAGGGACACACTCCTGAAAAGTGTGACCCTGGTTGTCCCCAGAGGTTCAGTGCCACTATGCCACTGCCCTACCCCCTCGGCCCCTCTGATGGACCCAAGGTCATATCCAGCCATGTTCCAGCCCTGGGGGAGCAAGCTCTGGTATTCCTGCTGGCCATCCACCCACTGCCTTGGCAGGAGGGGAGGATGAGAATGGGACAAGTGGCAGTGGGTGGGGATGCACAAGAGGCGCAGGGCAGGTCACCCCAGACCTAACAGCAGCAGTGCTGGCTCCTGCTCATGGTCTAGGGGAAGTGACACCCGTGCTGACCACCCCTGGCAGTGCTTCGGGTAGCACCAGCAGCAGTTACAGAGTCCATGGCATCACTGGGGCAGACTCTGGACCCAACAGCCCCAGCAGACTCTGCCAGGCTGGGCTGACTGGAGGGCTGTGCCAGCAGAGTCCACACCATGCCCCTAAGAGGCACAGGCAGTGGTTCCCACCTCCATTCCCATCCTCATTCCCCATTCCAATGAAGGATTTCCTCATTGCATCCCCAACCTACTTGCAGCACCATTCCCACTCACATGGGCCCATTCCTGGGGAGAAGAATGCCTCCTTACCTTTCTGCAGGTGGATGATGTCTGGGAAGTTGGAGAGGAGCCCTTGGTACAAGGAGAGAGTGTCCAGCATGAGGAACAGGTCATTCTTGGGCTGCTCAGCAAACATCTCCCCCACAGTCTCGTACGTCTTGCCCGTGTGGGAGATGGCGTTGTTGAGGGCATCCAAGCTGTAGGGAGGGTCCATGTGGAAGGAGTGGCTGATGGCTTGGAAGGCATTGCCCAGCTTCTGGAACTCCTTCCGGAAGCCCCCCACGTGCTTGCGCACCAGCTCCGACGCCACGTTGGTCAGCTGCAGGACGCTGTCATCCATCTTCTTGCTGAAGGCCTTGAAGGCATCCACGCGGTCCTCCACATCCTGCAGGTCCTGGTGCTCGGTGGGAATCTGGATGGTGAGGAGGAAGCTGGCGCCCACCATCTCGTCCTTCTCCGCCCGGCGTTTGCCCAGCTTCCACTGCTTCTCGTCGCGGCAGCAGAGGAAGTGCTGGAAGCCCTCGTACTGGGAGAGGACGGGGTGGCTGGTCATGTGCTCCATCCAGAGGATCAGCCGCCGCTTGCGCTTCTCGATGAAGTCCTCCTCGAAGCGGCCGGTGGCCTGCTTCTCGGGCAGGTGCGGCACCGAGATCACCGTGAACTTGTGCAGCAGGCGGTTGTAGAGCCAGTCAAAGTGCTTGTAGCGCCGGTACACGGGAGAGTTGAAGTTGCTGGGCGTCAGCTTGTAGGAGATGTAGCTCTTGATGCCCTTGAACTTGGTTTGCTTGGTGGGGTCCTCCACGGAGCAGATGAACGGGTGGGGGTTGGCCCTCCACTGCGGGCCCCTGGAGCCCATCTCGATGCAGTAGGTCTCGGCGATTTTGGACATCAGGGGCACGTCGCCCAGGATGAAGGCTTCCACGCCGGAGCGGACGAAGCAGGAGAAGCGGTTGAGGTTTCTGCCCACCACGCTGCCCCTCTTGGAGGAGCTCATGCTGTCCTGCCTCTCCAGAGCCGGCTTGGGCCGGTGGCCGGCGTGCTGGTGGTGGCCATAGGCCGCTGGGCACGGCAGGCTGGGCGAGGGGTGCCCGTTGGTGCCCGGCGCGCTCCGGGGCTCCTCCACCACCGTGCACGTGTCGTCCCAGTCATCCCAATCATCGTCATCGTCATCCTCAAAACTGCCCTGGTAGGAGATGCCGGGGTTGGGGGATGCCGAGTACAAGGAGGAATCGTGCCCGGGGGAGCCGACCGGGCTGCTGGAATAGTCCGTGTAGTTGGAGCCCGAGCGGGAGCGGAGGATCTCGACGTAGGAAGCGGGGAAGAGGCCGGTCTCCCCACGGCTGTTTTGGCCCTGTAACCACCCGTCCAGGGAGTTCTCGCTGAAGATGACGAGCTCCTCGTTCTCCTGGATGCTGATCTCCTCTTTGTTTTCGCTCTGGAAATTGTAAAGAGCTCTGGCTTTCAACGCCATGGCCGGTCCCGGGTCGGGAAGGGGGGGGAGCCAGCGGAACGCAACCCCCCCGGCCAAAACACCCCCCCAAATCCCGGCAATACCGCGGGCTCGCGCGGCTCCGGGATCACCACCACGCGCTGAGGGAAATGGCTTGGCCGCTTTCCCAGGAAAATAATAACAAAAAAAAAAAAAAAAAAAAAAAAAAAAAAAAAAAAAAAAAAAAAAAAAAAAAGGTGGAGAAGAAATCCCTTACGAGGTGACGCCAATGTCCCTATGTCCAAGAGACCCCCCCGATCCCGGCGCCCCGGTTAAAAAGAACATTCCGCGTTTATAAACTGCATTCCCTGGATAAAAACAAGATTCCCAGTCACGCGAGCTGCGTTCCCCCGGCTCCTCCGGGATGTGAATCCCGGCCGGCCCGAGAGCCGGGCTCTGCCATGTCCGCGCAGGGTTTATCTCTCCGGGAGGCTGATCCCGAGGTTTCACTCTCCGGGAGGAAAACCCCTGGCTGCCAACGAGGAAATAAATCCAAAGCGATTTTTCTCGGGGCTCCCGTGGATAAAGCACCCTAAATTTCCCGTCGGTGGGCGCTGAGAGAGCGGCGGGAGCGACCCCAAACCCTGTCCAACCTCCCGGTGATCCCGGGATTTTGCAATTCCTTTCCGGGCCGACTTTCCCGATGGTTGGCGGGGTCTGTTTTTTCCCTGAAATCCGTAAATCTCCCGCAGGACGGAGGCGGCGCCGGCGGTGGTGCCCGTGTCGGTGTCGGGGCCGCTCCTGCAGCCACCGGCTCTGGCGGGGCAGCGCCGGGGCCGCTCCCGTTGCCGAAGGGGTGGCGGAGCCGGCCGCCAGCCTCCCGTGACGCAGGGCAGCGCTCCCCGCTCCGCCGCCCGGTTCGCGGCGGGGAGCGGCCCGGCCCGGCCCGGCCAGCCGCACGCTGCCCTCTGCAGGCAGCTGGCCCCGGGGGCACGAGTCCCCGCCCGCGGGGGCTGCGGCCGCTCTCTCGTCCCTGCCGGGACGTGCCCCTCGCCCGTGCCCGGTCCCAGCCCGCAGCGCCCCGTCCCGGTGCCCGGGCGCTGGGGAAACTGAGGCACGGGACGAGCGGGCTCCTACAAGCCCCGCGGCGGCCCCGGGCAGGCCGAGCGCCGGCAGCGCCTCCTCCGCATCCAGAGAGAGTGAGCGCGGCAGCGGGCGGGGTGGGAGCCGCCGGGATGGGAGCGCGGGGCGCGTTGGGCCGGCCCGGGGCCGCCTGAGGGGAGCGGCCGCGCCGCGTGTGCCCTGGGTGAGCTGACACCCCGCCGGCTTGTTCCCTCGACCCCAGGAGGCGGCTGGACTACGTGAACCATGCCAGGAGGCTGGCGGAGGACGACTGGGCAGGGGTGGAGAGCGAGGACGCGGACGAGGAAGGGGAAGATGCGGAGGAAGAGGCGATGGACGTGGATGCTGGCAAGAAGCTGCCCAAGCGCTACGCCAATCAGGTGAGGAGCCACCTGTGTCCCCGTGGCGAGGTGTGGCCGTGGGGCAGGGCTGTGGGTGGTTTGAGGCCACGGTGATGGCCATTTGGGGGCTGGGAGGAGTGTGTCCTGCCCGGCTTGGTGTTCGCAGAGAAACTGTGCTTAGTTCGCTTCCAAAATGTGCTGAGTTCAAATGGAAAACACGTGGAGATGGGATGTGCTTTAGAATCTCTAAGGTTGGAAAAGACCTTCGAAGGTCACTGATTCCAGCCATTAATTCTGCATCACCACGTTCACCACTTCAGGAGATTTCAGCTCAGACAGCAGCATGAGTACCTTGTTAGGCAGTATTCAACTAAAAATTTCTGTTTCCCTGTGTTTGGAAAGGAAAAAAGGGCAAACTCAGCTGGGTTTTATCAGCCTGGGTGCTGGATCGGTCCTAGATAACACACAGCCACTTAGGCAACCTCTGAAGAGGTCAGCTTGTCCAGGCTCTTTACTCCTGACATTTTGGAATCTCTAAGCTTCGCTGTGTTTTTAAAAATTAAAAAAAAAATATCACTGGGCGCCCCACACCTCGTTCCTGGAGTGGGGCCAAGGTGTGGGGTGCCCAGTGTGAGCCCTGTGCTGTGGTCTGAAGCTCAGTCAGCAGCTGGGAAGCAAGAGAAAGGCTTGGGGAAGAACGTGTTAGGCAGGTTGGACTTCATTAGAGGGGAGGGAGGGAGCCCTTTGGGGGGTGACAAGCAGTGCCAGCTGCCCTTCAAACACCCAGTGGCAAAGCAAAGTCAAAACCTCCTTGCTCTACCCTTGAGTCGTTTGTTGTTCATGACTTCAGGAGAGCTGTTACTGACTGGTTCTTCTCCCTGGGCTCTCTGTAGCTGATGCTGTCGGAGTGGCTGGTGGATGTCCCCTCAGATCTGGAGCAGGAGTGGGTTGTGGTGGTGTGTCCCGTCGGGAAAAGGGCTCTTGTCGTGGCCTCCAGGGTAAGTGGGCTTCCACCAGCTGCTAAAGGACCTGTACCCATTCACAGCCAACATAAAGCTGGCTTGACTGGGTTTTTTCTCTCCTTTTTTCCTCACAGGGCACAACAGCAGCTTACACCAAGAGTGGCTTCTGCGTCAACAGGTTCCCATCCCTGCTGCCAGGAGGAAACTGGCACAACTCAACCAGTGACAAAGGTGTGAGGAGGATCTGGGGTAGAGAGAGGGGAACTGCCTGGGAGCTTGTGTGTGCTGACAGGCCCAGTGCTGCTCCTCCAGCTCCCCAAAGTCCCGTGGCTCTGCCCCTTTTTTGTGGTGGGGGTGGCCAGTTTCAGCTTTAGGCCAGTTTCTGTATCTCTGGAGGTAACTAGATGGGAACAGTATCAGATATCTTTATAAGCACATAGAATCCCTGAGTGGTTTGAGTTGGAAGAGACCTTAAAGCTCAGATTGTTCCACTGCCCTGCCAAGGACAGGGAATGTTCCACTATCCCAGGTTGCTCCAAGCCCTGTCCAGCCTGGCCTTGGACCTTTCCAGGCATGGGGCAGCCACAGCTGCTCTGGGCAACCTGTCCCAGGGACTCAGCACCTTCACAGGAAAGAATTTCTTCCTAACAGCTAATCTAAAATTGCCCTTTTCCAGTTTAAAACCATTTCCCTGTGTCCTGCCACATATTTTAAGAAGCTTCCTGTTTGACTGACACTCTTAAACCACAACATCCTCTCTGTCCTCTAACAGACACCTTTGAATGGTGTCATCTTCCTTAATATGTCTTGGAATTCTTTTTTTTTTGCCCCAAAAAGAGAGGCTTATTGTCTGGCAAATGCCATTTCCTGAAACATGCCCATGCTTGTTGTGCCTCTGACTGGTTCCTTTGCAGCCTCGTGGGACTCCTCAAGCTCAAGGCTTTTTGTGGCTGCAGTTTGTGTCAGCAGGAGGGGATCCCTCTGCACGCCACAGTCTCACATCAGGGCAGGATTATTGTCAGAGAGCTGGGACTTGGTATTTGCCAACTGGCTTGGGCAGTGCTAGGAGCAGGTCTGGACCTCCCTGTGTTTGTGTGTGCAGTGTACAGCATCCTGGACTGCATCTACAGCGAGGCCAAGCAGACCTACTACATCCTGGACGTGATGTGCTGGAGAGGACACCCTGTTTATGACTGCCAGGTACTGAGCCCTGCCCTCCCTGGTGTTCCCTGAGCTGCTTTGCTCCAGCACTGCAGGGAGGTCACTCTGCAAAAGGCAGATATTTCTCCTAAGCACCAGCATCTCTACAGTTTTAGGGATGCAGTTTAAGTGTGTACATGTTTTTGGGGGGGAGCAGCAGGGTTTGGGGTGCTGTTTCTGCAGATGAAGTCAAGTTTTTAAATCTCCCAGGTGAGTGCAGGGGAGCAAAGGTGCTCGGCAGACGCTGACAGGTGATGTGGGGTGAATGGTTACTAACTCTGTCTCCTTTCACAGACTGACTTCAGATTCTTCTGGCTCTCCTCAAAAATCCAAGAGGAGGAAGGGCTGGGAGAGAAAAGCAGGATTAATCCGGTAAGTCCTTTTGTACTGAGGGGGAGGCTGGGGGGTAAGCTCTCCTGTTCAGCAGGCTTCAGCAGTTTCTTTCACAAGTGGAAGTTTTTTTTTCCTTTCCCCTCACAGATCAGGCTTCAAAGTGTAGATCTGATGAAATGGGATGCTGTGGTCAGGATGTAAATAGAACCACTGCATATTGTAAATGAGTTTAGTGGGATTTTTTTCTCCCCATCCAAAGTGCTGAAGGAGATCACACTGCAGGGTATCAGCTAACTTCCATGCTGTTTTTAGCTTTCCCTTGTAATGGAATGGAAAGCCAGTGTGGTTTCTTCAGGAGCAGTGTTGGTTGGCAGCCTGACTACAATGGGGTTTATTCTGGCAGTCTTGTGGGTTTGTAAAGCTTTAAGCCTTCCCTCTTTTTAAACTGATCATTGAAGTTGTCGGGATGAATGCTGGCTTGCCATCCAGAGTCCCTGCTGAGCCAGAATAAAAAGTCTTCCTTTGAAGGCTTACACATGAGGGTCAGACCTAGAGTCCACAGCAGCTTGGAACATGAATTTTGGGTACAGACATGAGAGATTTGTCTGCTCAGACATGGCCAAGCAGAGCAGCTCCTGTGAGCTGAGCATCTCGGTGATAAATGGGGCTGACTGCAGTGAGGGTGTCTGTGTTCAGAGAACATCCTGTCCTGACTCCCAACAGGAATATCCAGAAGATAACTACCTAATGGAGGGGGGGTCGTTTCAGCTTTCATTTCCTGGGTGGAAAGATTGGCTTGGCTGAGGCAGCAGCCTGGAGCAGACATCTGTCTGCTTTGCATCCTGCCCGGAGGTCATCATTTTCTATTTTGGTTAGAAGAGCATCTCTGGGTCAAGTCTCCTGAAAAGTCCTTTCTGCAGTCTTAGGTGCTTGGGAAAAAAGGTATCAGGAGTATGTGGGAGCTGTTCCTCACCCTTTCCCTCTTATGCCACATCCTGCAGTGGAGGAATCATTCCTTTAGCTGCTTGCACACCAGTGCTGGATTCAACAACTTGTTCTCCTGTAGACCAGAGAGTTGCCTCTTCTAACCCTCTCTTACTCTTCCAGTACAAATTCGTGGGCCTGCAGAACTTCCCCTGCTCCTCGGACAGCCTGTGTGAGCTGCTGGCTACAGACTTTCCCTTTGAGGTGAGCACACACAGGTTCTGTGTGGGTCTGGACCCCAGCCTTAGCAACAGTTCTGCCAGTGCTGGGAGAGAGGTGCATCCCCTCTCCTTGGAACTTTGCTCTCCTGAGGCTGCAGAAAGTTTGCCAAGTTGTTGTTTCCTGTGTGTGGGATGGATGCCTTTATGCCCATGTTTGATCTGTTGCCTTGTCACACACCTCATTCAACCACACCAACGAGCAAGAGCTAAACCACAGCACTCCCTGGGTTTGTACTGCCCTTGCTGCCCTTGGCTGTGTCTGAAAGAGCCTTTTGGGATGGGAGGACACAACTCAGGTTCACACAGCAGTGTGATAGACAGCTGACCTTTTTAGGGCCAAAACTAGTACTGACCACTGCCCTGGGTCAGTGGTTTCCCTGGGAAACGCTTGTGTGCATTTCCTTGGTGTTGGTGCTTCCAACAAGGCAGCTGGCTGTTTTGTGGGGAGGAAGGAGAAGGGTGGTGGTAAGATCCCAGTGGTTTCTGGGGGGTTTGGGTGTTCATGATGGGTGCCTAAGGTGTACTGGAGCTGGGGGCAGTTGGCTGTGACAGAAATTACTGAGCAGGACACCATGTTTGCTTCATCAGCTTTAAAAGTATTGAGTGGAAAGGGACCTGCTAGTAGCATCAAATTCCAGCTCTGGCTCTGCACAGGACAGCTCCAAGAATCCCACCCTGGGCCTGAGAGCGTTGTCCAAAGGCTCCCTGAGCTCTGGCAAGCTTGGGGCCAATGGCTGCTGCTCTGGGGAGCCTATTCCAGTGCGTGACCATCCCCTGGGGGAAGATATTTCCTATATCCACTCTAAACTTCCCCAACACAGCTGTTGTGCTGTTCTGACCTTTGGGGAAGGGCAGGACAGGCAAAGCCGTGTGCCACCCAGCTCAGTTCTGTGTGGTTGTGAGCAGTGAGTTGCAGGCTGTTGTGGAATCAGCTCTGGCTGCTTTTGCCTGCCCTGGCTGACTTGTCACTGCAAGGGAAGGGGATGGAGGAGGGAGTGGCATTCCGACCCGGTGACAGTGACAACATCTGTGAGCCAGAAGCTCTTCCAGTGGCTGCAGCTGTTCCTGAGAGTGCCCAGTCTCAGCCCTACATCAGGAATGTGCTCCACAGAGATTTCTTGTCCCATGAAGCCAAAAGCCACGTTGATGTGACAGTGTCTCTCATGGTCTCCCATCCTGAGTTAGCCATTAAAATAGGTGTAGGTTTAAGTTAAGGGCACGAACTTGGCTCTGAGGGCTGACTTTGCTTTCTGCTTGTGAAAGCCAGGACAGTCATCAGAGCAAGTTGGAAAGTCCCAACCCCTCACTGGTCTTGCCAGACCCTGCTCTGAACATGGATTGAAGAGCCTTCCCAGCTTTCTTTCAGCTGGCTTGCTCAATAATAAATGCTCCAAGTGCCTCTGTAGAAACAGTCATTCCTGGCTTTCCTGAGTCAAGTCTTCATTCCCTCCTGAGGCATCTGCTCCCAAGAGGAAAGGCTGAGGAGCGTTTGCCCGCTGCAGTCAGAGCAGCAAACTTCTGGGCTACAAAGGAGGCCATTGCGAAACTCTGGAGCAGGAGATGGAGCTGAACAGGCTCCAGCTGTGTAATTCAGCTGTGATTTGCCCCCTCAGGCCCTCTGCTGTGTCAGGGTGTGACCCCAAGAAACAAAACGTGGTGTACATTGGCTCAAAGCAGCCCCAACATCACAGGAACCATGGTGCTTTTTCCAGGAAGTAGGGAGCTGTGGGTCTCTGTGGTGTGCCACAAGAGGGAGCCCAAAAATCCCCAAAAACACCTTCTACCACCGGCACAGAACAGAATAAACTTTGCAGGAGGCAAAATACATCCTGGCTATGGGTGAAAGGTAACAGAGGTGGTCTTAGGTGTGGACCCTGCATCTTTTGATGCTGACAGGGATCTTGTGTGTGTGGTGGCCACAGAGGAGGTCAGTGCTTTCAGTCTGGGTCTTCTTCAAAGTTAATCTGTAACTTCAGAGCTAGGGCCTGATCCACTCTATTCAGTGGACTCTTATTCCCCAGAATTCAGTAGACTTTGGATCAGTTGACTGGCTCTGAATTTCAAGTGGTTTTTGGAGGGGATCTTAAGAACTGCTGTCCCTCTCACAGATCTGAGTAAAACCATGTTTTCCACCAAGGCAGGGGAGTCAAAGCCTCTGAGAAACCCTGATGTTTGGGAATGGGAGGACTGTTAAGTACCTAAAATCTGTAAAGCATGGCTGTGGAATGTTAAATCCTGCCAGGCCAGTCTCTCCTCAGGTTTGGGCCTTCAGGGACAGTGTCAGTCCCTGAAGTGGGGATGTGGCCACTGTCACTGTCGTGACTCGGGGTAGGGACCCAGCCAACAAATGAAATAAACGGGAAGGAACATAGGAGTCACTTAACTTGGGGAATGGGGAACCTGACCTAACTCCACCAGGCTGAACTCCTTTGAATTCTCCAGCTTGGGGAAGGTATTTGGAGTGATCTGGAAGGCCTTCCAGGCTCTGAGCTTTACCAAAACATTCCTGTGGGTGCCGGAGAATCCCCGTTGCTCATCAGGTGCCACGCACCCACAGGCATGGGCTGGATGTACTGGAGTGCTGCAGAAACTGATTCTTGCCAGGAGGCAGGGTGGGGGAAAAGCCTCTCACTTTATATGTCCAGAGGGGTCACACAAGCTCATCATGATGTTTACTGTTCTGGTTTTATGTTTTCCTAGCACAGAAATCCCCCTTTTTCTGGGATTATTTTGTAAGATGCTAACAGTGACTGAAAATTAGGGACAGAATAGTGCCAAAAGCTTTGCCCTCTCTGCCAGAGGTTAGCATCTGTGGAGCAGAAGTGGACATTTGTGCTCAGCCAGTGTTTCTGTTCTGGAGGCTGTAGGATCAGGGAGGGGTCTGGAAGCAGTTCATCCTGAGGTGGGCTCTTGTTCTCCTCTTTTCTGCCCACTCAGCCACTCTTCCTCATAGCCAAATGGCCTTTTAAGAGCTTGTGAAGCTGAGCTAAGAGGAGCACCACCTCCAGCATTAGTCAGCCTGACAGCAGGATCCAACCTTGCAGAGCACACCCCTGGGAAGCGTGGGAAGAGGGGGGATGAGAATCCCTGAGCACGGTGGGGAAGTGGGGAAAACGTCAGCCAGCTGCAGCACTGCAGCGTGTGGAAATAGTAGCACAAGAGTTAGGGCCTAAACCTTTAAAGTCCTGAGTGCCCTTAACTGTCACTGATTGCTAGGAGAAGTTCTCTCCTGGGAAACATTAAGAATTTTTTTGGCATAAGCCAGCTGAAAGAGCTGTTAGGAATCGGGGCTCCTTGGCGTCACACGCTCGGGCTAATTACTTTCCAAATGTATTATTTAAAATAACCCTAATCCAGTAAAGTGGGCTGCCTTATTCAGAGACTCTCTGGCTTTTCTGCAGAATGGGATGAAAGCATCCAGAGGACGTTGCTCTGTGCCGACACCAAGCTGGACTCATTTGCCTTTGACAATTTAAAGCCATCTGGGAGTCACTGATCTTTCAGGGCAGCAGCTCTGCAGGTTTCTCCTTTCCCTTCCGCTATTTATTGCACTGCTTGAGGAAAAATGATCCAGCTGGTGGTTTTGGCCGGCAGAGAGCAGAGCCGTTGTCTGGTGCCTGGTCATTCACCTGCAGGAGCCTCAGCTCTGCCCTTTCATTCATTCTCTTTCCTGCCCGCAGGTTGACGGGCTGCTCTTCTACCACAAGCAAACCCACTACACCCCTGGCAGCACCCCGCTGGTGGGCTGGCTCCGGCCCTACATGGTCCCCGAGATCCTGGGGCTCACTGTGCCTGCCACCGTGCTCACGGCCAAGCCGGACTACGCCGGGCGGCAGCTCCAGCAGATCATCGAGAGCAAGAGGAGTAAAAAGCTGGCGGCGGAAAAGGGCCACCCCGGCGGCGAGGCGGCCGCGAGGAACGGACACTACGAGCTGGAACACTTGTCCACTCCTCAGCCAGAAAAGTCTCCGGAGGGCCGGGATGGAGCAGTGAGCCAGATGGAGAGTTGAGCTGCTGGGACAGGCCAGCTGGGCAGAGAGCAGGGAAAAGGCTCCCTGCTTCTTCTCACTGTGCCTCGTGCTCCTGAGAGGGGGCAGAGTAATGATGATAGGATGGCTTTGTTTAAAGGGCATGACAGTGGAATATCTTGCCCCAGGTGCTGCTGGATTTTTGTATTTGTTGTTACTATGTACTCTTTGCCAGGACTCCTGTGAGGCCTTAACAGTCTGGTTCTCACTAAAGCAGTCATGTGTTGGGAAATTATCTGTCCCCATAGCGCAGGGATACAGTTCAGCTCCTGACCCTGCTTCTGTTAGAGTCTTGGCAAAACTCCAGCATAGGAACACTGCTTGGACCTCTGAGGTGCAGCTGCTGCATGTGACCCTTGCAGCAGTCCCACCTTCCCAGCCCTTCCCAGGATTGGGGCTTCTCAGCCTTTGATCCAGCTGTTTTCTGAGACCTTTCCAATTAAAGTTGTTACTAACAAAAAGTTTGCAGTGAGCTGCTGTAAGTCCAAAGGCTGGACTTTCCACACCCACGCGTTCTTGGGAAAATTTAAATTTCCCTGTGTTGCAGCAGGACCTGCCTCAGAGCAGGGCTTTGTGCCGCACAAGCACGGCAGAAGCCTCTCTCTCCTCGAGGCTTTTCTCAGTGGGGAGAGGAAGGAATGGCTTCTCTCTGAAAAACGCTACCATTGATCGTGCCAAATAAAAGGTTTCTCAGAAAGACAAATTCTTCTTAGCGTCTTCCTGCTACCTAAGGGTGGATGCGTGCCGTGCCTCCCAAACAGGGATTGAAAAATTGGTTCCAGTGCTGACTGGAGCAGAGGAAACGCTTGTGTGGGTTCAATTCTCTGCACATCGAGGTACTTCAGTCTCTTGTCCTGTCTTTCTCATCCCAGCCCAATCCCACCTTTTAAGCACCAGCTGCTCCCCCTTCCTAGTTTTAGGGGGATGAAATGATTGTTCTCTCTGGTTTCCAGAGGGGGATGAAAAGGAGAGAGATGAAACATCAAGCTCAAGGCAGTGTTGGGGACTGTCCTCCCAGCTGTCTATGGAAATTCCCCTGGAGGAGGTGCTGAGAGTGGGGATGGCCACCTGCAGATAGAGGGTGCACTTGTATCCTGCCCTAGCACCCCCCGTTTCTCCCTGGTTTCTGTGCCAAGCGTGTGGGCTGTGTGCGACCGTCTGGCCGGGCAGCACTATTGATGATAGCAGCAGGCAGCAGGAACTGGCCTGGCTGTGGGAGGGGGCTGCCCTCTGCTCCCCTTCCCGGCAGGGAAGTGGCACCCTGGCCCTGCAGCGTTCAGAGCTATCGCTTTCAAACAGCTGATTAAGTTACTGGTTTCAGTATTATTTTTTTTAACATATGAAGCAGCTGATCCAGGGGAAGAGGATGAGCACCAGGACTGCCTTCACCTCCCCATCCCTCGAAGGTTCCCACCTTCAGCCTTCCTGGCTGGCAGACGTCTGCAGGGAGAGCGCTGAGTGGGGTACCGCATTCAGCCTCCTGTCAGCACAGTTTTCCTTCCATCAGGCAATTAAACCCGGAGGTGGGCATCTGGATGGAAGATTTGTGCATCCCTTAGGGCAGAGAAAACTACAGCTCAGGTTACTGCCCTCCAGCAGCCTTCCAAGGTCCTCCAGGAGGGAAGGAGAGGAAATACAGCCGAGGAGGGGCTGTACGCGCTGATGGAGGAGAGCAAGAGGGAAGCGACTGCAGCTTCCCGCCGGCTCCAGATGATGCCTCATAGTTTCCCTTTTAAAAGCATGAGCTGGGCTGGAGGAATAAATATTTGCGTTACAATTCCTGTTGGGAATGAAAGGCTGTTTTTGGAGGGAGGGTGTCAAACGGAAGTCGCAGGGGCCAGCACAGTTTGGTGCTGTGACTATTCTGTTTGCTGGGTGCGATCCCACTCCCAGCTGGAACAGGCAGCAGCTCTGCTGGAGGGGTCACCCCACCGGGGGCTGAAATTTGGCCTGGGGCAGGAGAGCTGAGCGGGCAGCTCGACGAGGAGACGTGGCCTGGAGCACTCATCCAGCCGGGGATCTCAGCCCCTTCCCTCTGCCCTACTTCCATTTTCTCCCAGTTAGGTGCACAGGCTCCGGCTGTAGGCACGCTGCCAGCACAGTGCTCCTCGGCTGAACAAAATGTCCCCTTGTCCCAGGGCCTGGCTTTTTGGAGCGAGCGCTGCTGTGCTTCCCGGGATCCCCGCTCTTTCCCGGAGGAGCTTCGGGACTCTCCATCCAGGCGCTGACACCTGCGCTCGGCTGGGAAATGCAATTTAGGGACCGTAGAGGAGGGAGTGGAAAGAGACGCCTGGAAACCCCGGACTCCTGCTCGTAGGGGGAAGGCTGCGCGGCTGGAATCCCGGCAAGGGAGAAAGCTGTGCCGGGAATGTTATCCAGTAACAGCAAGGGAGGATGCGGCTGCCGGGAATTTTATCCAGCATCAGCGAAGGGAGGAGGATGCTGCCACCATTTTAGCGGCGGCGCTCCCGCCTGCCGCGGCCGGAACCGGGGCTAGGGAAGACGCCGCGGAGCCGGGGGACACCGGGCCCCTCCGGCCCCATCCCGGCTGCTGTCCCCCACTCGCCCCCCTGCCGGGGAGGGCTTCCTGTCCCCCGCCCGCCCTGCGGGGTCGGCCGAGCCGCGGGGAGGGGACGGGGAGGAGGGACCGGGGGCTGCGGGCGCTTCCTGCCGCCGCCCCCGCCGGGGCAGAGCGGAGCGGGGCGGGGGCTCGGCTCGGCCCGGCCCAGCCGAGCGGCGCTCCCGGGCCGAGCCAAACTTCCCGGGGGGCTCACACCAACACACGCACACGCATACATAGATATTTAATTTCTTTTTTTTTTATTTTTTTTGTTTCCGTTTTATTTTCATTTTCTCGGCACTTTCGGCGGGGCCCCCGGGGCGGAGCCGCCCTCGCCGCCGGGAGGGGCCGGTGCCCGCAGCGCCGGGGATGGGCTCCGCCGGGGCGTCCTCCGCCTAGACCAACCCGGCTCGGCTCGGCTCGGCCCGGCCCGGCGCGCAGCATGGCCGCGGAGCTCAGCGCCGAGGAGGAGCAGGTAGGTCCCGCCGGGCTCCTCTTCCCCGGGTCGGGCTGGGCAGGACCCCGGGGGTTCCTTCCTCACACCGCTCCTTTCCCATCGTTATTTGGCTAGCCCGGGTTGCCAGGCTGGTTTTTCCCCAGCCAGCCGATTCTCCCGACGGGAAGCCCCCCCCCCCCCCCCCCCCCCCTACGCAGCCCCCCATCCATGCAACCGCCAAACCCGCAGCCTCCCAACCCACGCAGCACCCACCCTACAACCCCCATCCACGCAACCCCCCAACCTTCCCGTTCCCCAAAAGCTCTCGCAAGGCCCCTGCCGTGGGTGCTGGGGCGTGGGTCCCACACCCCCAGAGCAGCGTGGCCCCGCTGGCAGGCCTCCCTGCCGTGGGGATGGTGCGGGGGGATGATGCGTGGGGATGGATGCGTGGGGATGGATGCGTGTGCACGCGCTTCCCACGCCCCAGGCCTCCCGTGACGTCCCGGCTTCCTCCGCCGGCCTTGCGTCACCGCGGGAGGATGTTGCTGGGCTCGGGGAACGGGGCCCTGGAGCCGGCCGGGGAGCCTCGGCTGGCCGGAGCAATCCCTGCCCGTCCCCTCCTTTGTCCTCGTCCCCACGCCTGCCCACCCGCGGCCGCTGGGCTTCCCTGTGGATGGGGATGTGGAGCCGGGATCCCTCTGCCCCCTCGGGCTGTCACATTGGCCACGTTGGTGGCTCTGGGGACTGCAGAGCTAAGGCGAAAAGGTCCTGTTTTCCTTCCAAAATGGTCGGTTTTCCAATTGGTTGGCTGGTTGGTTTTCTTCTTTAAAAATCCTTCGTTTCTACAGGGAGGTTTAGGAGGGCTGGGATGGAGATGTCGAGTTCTCAAAACCTCCATGGAAGAGCCCCTCCTGCAGCCTGCGCTGGTGCTCAGCATATGCAGAGCTACCAGGCTTTTTCCTCCTGGAAGCAGCACTGCTCTCTTCAGGGTCATAAAATCCCAAGGAATGGGGAGTGTTCTTGGAGTGTCCAAGGAGGGAGTGTCCTCTGTCCCCACAGGTGCCTGAGATTTGCGTTTCTCCTGTGTCATGGAGGGGGCAAAGCTTCCAGAAATAGGGGTTTTGGAGATCCTGCACCAGCAGGGAAGGCTGGTTTGCAGAGGGAGCAGCATCCCAGGAGAGGGATCTGAGATGTTTGGTTTGTTTGGGAATATTGGATGGAGAGGGTGAAGAGACATTTGCAATAATGGCTCCAGGTTTGGGTCATCAGGTTGGTGTGAGGAAGGCTGCCTTTCGTGCTGCCCTCGGTGGCTTGGAAGCCAAAATAATGGAATTTTCCTTGTTTTTGTGGGTAAGTGGTGGTTTGGGCTGGAACATGCCCTTCCTGCCATCCCTTCATCCTTCTTGCGACCATCAAGATTTCCTCCACTCTCCCTTGTTACCGACAGCAAGCCAGGGGGAAATTCACCCTTCTCCTCTTAGGCCAGCCTTGGGACATCTCTTCTGCTGGCCCTCTGCAGTTCCCTCCTTAGCCTATCCCCAAGGAGCCAAACCAATTTTCCTTGAAGGTTTTCAGCCCAGCTGCAATTTTCACAGATTTATACCCCACTTCCCCACACTGAAGAAGGAGGGTAGGTTTGCTGCCTGGGGGAAGAGGGCTGGAAGAACCCCTGGATTCCAGCAGCAGTGGCTTTGTCACCACCCTGCTCCAGCGCAGCGGGGCCGTGGATGACGCCAGCACTCCAAAGACCAGCATTGTTCCAAACACCCAGCCACGGACAATTTCACTCCCAGCGCTGTAGAAACAGGACTTCTTGCCGCAGCTCTGGGTCACAGGCTTTGTTTTTGGCACGTGGAGCGATCCCTGCTCCGCTGGGATTGACGTGTGTATAAATCCTTTTGGGGTTGGGGCTAGGAATGATGATGAGACCCAGTGGAGCGCACGAAGGGGGCAGAGCTGTTTCTGGCATTGATGCTCAGCTCTGTAACGCCTGGCTCCCTGCTGTTGAATGGCAGCACTGGTAAGTTTGGAATTTGGTTTTGTTCCCAGGGAAAGCTGGAGTTCATGGCTGAGCTGCCCTGCAAAGATAGTGCTTGCTCTTGTGCATCTTCCCTTTGCAAAAAGCCCATCATCCCTCATGACAGCTGCTGGAAATGGGATTGTGTGAAGCGTGGTGGGTTAGATGTTGAGGAGGCAGACCTGATCTGCAGGTTGCATCCTCTCCTCATTGCCATCATGCCCTTTGGGCCCCTCTTCCCATCATCTGAGGACTCCCTTCCCATCACCTTGGGGTATCATTGCCAGCTCAGGCTGCGCTGGTGGCTCCAATCTTTGGGGGAAGTGCTAGTTGTACCTGGCGCTCACTCCCATACCTTGACCATCCTGCATGTGCTGGGGGAGGATCATCTTCACTGTTATTTTGGGTTTGCATCTGCAGCCCTGGATTTTGAGCAACTGGGTGCCTCGGGGAGTGCCCTGGCAAAGTGGAGGCGTGCCCAGGATATATGGGATAGGATATGTTTACAGACAGAATATATTGCTGTGTACGTGGATGTGTTCTGTGTTGAGGCTGAAGATGGTTCCTGTATTGCCCCATTTATTTTCCTGTGGTTCTTGCCTGGCTGCTTTGTGCGACTCTGGGACCAAGGGAGCTCCTGGCTGCACAGTGCTGGGAGACAGACCCCTGGGATGAGCCGGGCTC